GCCCCCGACATTCTTGGATTCGGCTTGCCAGTATTATTTTTGCATCAATGTTCATGAGGGAGACTGGTCTGTAATTCTCTTTCTCAGTGAGTTTTTCTGTGGTTTGTGTATCACAGTAACTGTAGCCCAGAAAGAGTTTAGCAACATTTCTTCTGTTTTTATTGTGTGAAACAATTTGAGGAGTATAAGTATTAGCTCTTCTGGTAGAATTCTGTGCTGAAACTATCCATCCTTGGGTTTTTTTTTGGTTGAAGACTTTTGATGACTGCTTCTCTTTCCTTAGGGGTTATAGGTCTATTTAAATTGTTTATGTGGTCTTTATTTAATTTTGGTCTGTGGTTTGTGTCCATTTCTTTTAGATTTTCCAATTTTGTGGAGTACAGGTTTTTGAAGTATAATCTAATGATTCTTTGGATTTCCTCAGTGTCTGTCATTATGTCCTCCTTTTCATTTCTGATTTTGTTAATTTGGATATTCTCTCTCTGCCTTTTGGTTAGTTTGGATAAGGGTTTTGTCTATATTATTGATTTTCTCAAAGAACCAGTTCTTTGCTTCATTGATTCTTTGTATTGCTTTCTTTGTTTCTATTGTATTGACCTCAGCCCTCAATTATTTCCTGTTGTCTGCTCCTCCTGGGTGAGTCTGTTTCATTTTGATCTCGAGCTTCCAAGTGTGCTGTAAGTAGCTAATGTGAGATTTCTCTATTTTCTTTATGTAGTTATTTAGTGCTATGAACTTTCCCTTCATTGTGTCCCATAAATTTGGGTATGTTGTGTGGTCATTTTCATTGAATTTTAGGAAGTCTTAATTTCTTTATTTCTTCCTTGACCCAGGGGTGATTCAGTTGAGCATTGTTAAATTTCCATGAGTTTGCAGGCTTTCTGCAATTAGTGTTGTTGAATTCTAACTTTAAGTCATGGTGATCGGATAAGATGCAAGTGGTTACTCCAATTTTTTTAGTGTCTGTTGAGGTTTGCTTTGTTACTGAGTATGTGATCAATTTTAGAGAAGGTTGCAAGAGATGCTGAGAAGGTTTATTCTTCTGTGCTTGGGGGAAATGTTCTATAGATGCCTATTAGGTTCATTTGAGTCATGACATCTGTTAGTGTCTTATTTCTCTGTTAAGTTTCTGCCTGGTAGACCTGTCTACTGGGGAGAGTGAGAGTGGGGTGTTGAAGTCTCGTACTGTTAGAACATGGGGTTTGATGTGAGATTTAAGCTTTAGTAATGTTTCTTTTATATGTGGGTGCCCTTGGATTTGGGGCATAGATGTTCACAACTGAGACTTCATCCTGATGGATTTTTTCCTGTGATGAGTATGAAGTGTCCTTCTCCATCTCTTTTGATTGATTTTAGTTTGAAGTCTACTTTGTTAGATATTAGGATAGCTACACTTGCTTTTTCTTAGGTCCATTTGATTGGAATGTCTTTTCCCAGCCCTTTGCTCTGAGGTAATGTCTGTCTTTGAGGTTGAGGTGTGTTTCTTGTATGCAGCAGAAGGAGGGATCCTGTTTTTGTATCCATTCTGCTAACCTGTGTGTTTTTTATAAGTGAAGTGAGTCCATTGATATTAAGGGATATTAATGACCAGTGATTGTTAATTCCTGTTATTTTTTGGTGGTAGTGTTTTTGTGTTTCATTTCTTTGGGGTTTTTTTGGTGTGAGGTTATCTATTGTCTGTGTTTTCGTGGGCATGGCTAACTTCCTTGGGTCGGAGTTTTTCTTTTAGTACTTTCTGTAAGGCTGGATTTGTGGATAGGTATTGTTTAAATCTTGTTTTGTCATGGAATATCTTGTTTTCTCTGTCTATGGTGATTGAAAGCTTTGCTGGGTATATAGTAGTTAGTGCTTGGGTCTGTGGTCTCTTAGTGTCTGCAGCACATCTGTCCAGGCCTTCTAGCTTTTACAGTTCCCATTGAGAAGTCGGGTGTAATTCTCAGAGGTCTACCTTCATATGTTACTTGGTTTTTTTCCTTTGCAGCTCTTAATATTCTTTCTTTAGTGTTTTGATTATTATATGGCAAGGGGATTTTCTTTTCCAGTCTATTTGATGGTCTGTAAGCTTCTTGTACCTTCATAGGCATCTCGTTCTTTAGGTTTAGAAAGTTTTCTTCTATGATTTTGTTGAATGTATTTTCTATGCCTTTGAGCCAGAGTTCTTCTCCTTCTTCTATCCCTATTATTCTTAAGTTTGGTCTCTTTATGGTGTCCAGATTTCCTGGATGTTTTGTGTTAAGAATTTGTGGGATTTAACATTTCCTGGACTGATGAATCTATTTCCTCTCCCATCTCTTGTAATTCTCTCTTCTGTCTCTTGTAATCTGTTTTTTATGCTTATATCTGTAGTTCCCATTTGTTTATCCAGATTTCCATTTCCAGAATTCCCTTGGTTTGTGTTTTCTTTATTGTCTCTATTTCAATTTTCAAGTCTTGAACTGTTTGCACTGTTTCCTTCATCTTTTAATTGTTTTGTCTTGATTTTTCTTAGTTATCTTTAAGAGATTTATTGATTTCTTCCAATTTTTTGTCTTTTTCTCCATTTCTTTAAGGGAATTTTTCATTTCCTCTTTAAAAGTTTCTATCATCTTCATAAAGTTATATTTAAGGACATTTTCTTCTGCTTCTTCAGCATTAGGATGTTCAGGTCTTTGTTTGTAGGACCACTAGGTTCAGGTGTTGCCATGTTGTTTCTTAGGTTGTTGAATGTATTCTTGCATTGGCACCTACCCATCTCTTCCTCCAATTGGTGTAGGTGGGGCCGTGACTTAGATGATCACTCTTCCTCCTGGTACAGGCTGGGCTGTGGCTCTGGGGGCTCCTCTCCAGGTGCAGTCAAGGCCAAGGCTCGGTGGTCAGAGATGTGGTGGGGATGGTTGCAGGTATGGGGAGGCTGCTTCCAGGTCTCTCCACAGTTTTCAAATGACAACCTTAGGGAGATTTCATCAACAATAAAAGTCACCTGTTGACTTGAGCTCATCATTTTCTTTCTTTTTTTTTTTTTTTGGTTTTTCGAGACAGGGTTTCTCTGTGGTTTTGGAGCCTGTCCTGGAACTAGCTCTTGTAGACCAGGCTGGTCTCGAACTCACAGAGATCTGCCTTCCTCTGCCTCCCGAGTGCTGGGATTAAAGGCGTGCGCCACCACCGCCCGGCGCTCATCATTTTCTTTTTCATTTCATCATCATTATTGTTGTTATGAGTTCGAGACCAGGCTGGGTGACGTAGTAACTAACACCTAACCGCAAAAAAAGAAAATTACACCTGAAAAGTGATATAGTCGTGTGTGTGTGTGTGTGTGTGTGTGTGGTGTTTAGTGTATAAACAGTAGTGAATCACTATTACCTAATTTTAGAATGTTTTCATTACCCCTAAAAAGGACTGTGTGGTCCTTAGTAATTACCTCCTTTCTTCTTTACCCCTAATCTTAGGGAAGGCCCAGTCTGCCATCTGTTCTGTGGGCTGTCTATTTCCAATACTCTCCGTAAACACAATCACATGACGTGTGGGCTTTGTGCCTGCCTCCTTTCCCTTAGCACATTCCCAGGTCCATTCATGTAGCAGGTGCCGCTCTGCTCCTTCTGAGGACTGAACGACCTGCTGCTGCCTTGTTTACCTGCTTGTTCAGTCAGCTGATGGACATTGGGCTGTTCCCATCTTTTGGTTTTCATTTAGTAAGTTGTTATGGACATAAATTTTTCAAAGCAAATGTCAGGTTTGCTTTCTTGGTTTTTATGGTCTTGCGTCATTTGGAATCAATCTTGCTGTTTGCTATTGTGGGATGTTTTACTCTTTTGGCTTTTTTGGGGGTCCCACTACCCAACTGTCAAATAAATCACATGGAGGCTTATTCTTAGTTACGAATGCCCAGACGTAGCTCTGGCTTGCTTTTTGCAAGATTTTCTTAACTTCTATTATCCCATCTACCTTTTGCCTCTGTGCTTTTAACTTTCTCTATTTTTTTTTTTTTTTTTTGGATTTTTCGAGACAGGGTTTTCTCCGTAGCTTTTGGTTCCTGTCCTGGAACTAGCTCTTGTAGACCAGGCTGGCCTCGAACTCACAGAGATCCGCCTGCCTCTGCCTCCCGAGTGCTGGGATTAAAGGCGTGCGCCACCACCGCCCAGCTCTAACTTTCTCTTTCAATATGCCTTTCTTTCCTTCTTACTCTGTGGGTGGCTGGGTGGCTGGGTGGCTGGGTGGCTGGCCCCAGATATTCACCACTCCTTGTTCTCTTGCACCTTTCTCCTTGTTTCTCCTTTTATACTCTCTGCCTGCTAGCCCTGTCTATCCTTGCTTCTGCCTCGCTATTGACTGTTCGTCTCTTTATTAGACCATCAGGTGTTTTAGACAGGCACAGTAACACAGCTTCACAGCTAATCAAATGCAGCCTAAACAAAAGTAACACACCTGACAAAAATATTCCCCAACTGTTTGCTAGACCAATTGGCTGACCACAATCCTCAGACCCCTCTCTGGGTCAAGATCCTGGGTCTGTGAGGACTTAGATCCTAGAGCTTTAGTGGGTGACGTTCCAGACTCGGTCTCCAACAGTTAAGTACACCAAAGTCATCAGGGTGGGTCTTCTGTCCCTGCAATCATGTAGAAAGCAAACAAAATTTGTGCCTGTTTGGTATTATACCACAGACGGCAAGAGTTATGGCCACCGTGCATGATAAGTAACAGTTAAAAAATGGAAAAGACAGTATATATACATATGAAAATAATCCATGGGCTTTGGGACTGTCCACAGGTTCAGGGAGGCACTGGAGTCTTGGGATGTATCCTGTGTGGTGGGGGTGAAATATATAGGTGGAAGTTATTTACCTTTGAGTCAGTGGTCCTGTCCTTCAAGCTGGCCTTGAACTTGCTCTGTAGGCAAAGTTGGCCGAGAACTATCCTTCCTGATTCTACCCCTATATACATATTTATAGGCTCGAAGGTGTGCACCATCGTACCTGCCTGACCGGGGAAAGGTTTAATCACAGTGCGTCTTGTTTCTCCTACAGGTGTGGAGAACAGCTTTTCCTCCAGTTCAAGGCATTTAGAGGAAGATTTGGCTAAGCTATTTGGTAAGTCGTCCTGTGGAACCCGAGTCTGGGATTTAAAGAAGTCACGCGCTTGTTCTAGGTCACTTGTTCCTGTGTGCAGTTTGGGTAGGCAGAAAGGCGAGTGTTCTTTCTGCCTTGTGGCTAAGAGTCAGTTCCTCTAAGTGTCCAGGTGCCAAAAAAAATTAAGCCAACAGGGCGATAAACCAAAGCTTGGTAAAGTTGCTGCTTTTCCAAAGTGGGTAGGTGGTAGAGTCAGCAGTGCCATCTGGAAGTTCCCTGAGGCAGTGACCCACCTCAGCCCTCCACGTAGCGCCTGTCTGGACTATTTCTGCTTAGCGGTGAGTGTGAGGCCCCAGGCTGAGCTGGGAACAGCCAGGGGGATATTAAAGGACCCTTCTCCAAGGTTTCGGTATTAGACTTAGGGGAGGGGCATTTTTACTGCGCTAGGAGTCAAACCAGAGCCTCACACTTGCTAGGCAAGTACCCTACTCTGAGCTAGAGCCCCAGACCAGTGTGTTTGTTGTTTTCGTTTTGAGACAGGGTCTCACTGTGTGTTCCTGGCTGACTTATTCAGAGATCCATCTGCCTCTGCCTCCCAGTTGCTGGGACTAAAGGTATGGACCGGCAGACACAGTGGTCAAGTTGTAAAGCTCTCTGGGAGACTCCAGGCTGAGGATTGCTGATGTCCTACAAGTCCAGGGACCAGAGGCTCAGGGAACAGTTCTGAACCACGGCAGTCTGCTGAGAAAGCAGAGAGGTGACAGAAACACCCCACTTATGCAGAGTGGAAGTTCTTAGCGCGTTCTGTGGGCAGCCCTTCCTGGCAGGGCTCACTGCTTCCTCCTGAGGTCTGCCTGCTTGGGCCCAGCCTTTTTTCTTCTCTCCTCAGCCCAACTCTGGTTTTGCTGTTCTTTATAGACACATTGGTATGTCTGGCCATGTCTGGTATACCCTCGTACATGTCTAGATGGCTCAGCAACACAAACCAAGGGTTCTTTCTTTTCCCTTGTCAAAGTAGCTTGGGCTGGAGCCATTTGCTTTGAGATCATCAGGACTGTCCCAGTGATTGTGTCTCTGGGCCGCAGGATGGTTGTTGCAGTTCCAGGCATCACATCCAGACATCCTCCTTTCCAGGCTCGAGGAAGAAGTCAGGGAAGTGCAAGCTCAGCACTTTAAAATTTTCTATCCAAGCTGGGCATGGTGGCGCACGCCTTTGAACTCAGTACTTGGGAAGCAGAGGCAGGCTGGTCTCTGTATGTTTGAGGCTAGCCCAGTCTCCATAGTGAGTTCTAGGACATCCAAGGGTATACAGTGAGACCCTGTCTCAACCACCTTCCAAAATGAAAAAAAGGAATACATTTTTGTCTAGTGAAGCAATGCCCTTTCTGGGTCTCAGCTGTCTTTTGAGGATCTCTCTGTGCTGTGTGGCCTGGCCCTATCTGCCAGGGAGGGTGGAAAAGGAAGTTTCTTTGGGGATGTGGCATTCGAGGCTTCAACCACAGAGTAGATGCAGAAGGAGGTGAGTGCATCTTGAGATGGAAAAGCATAGAAGCTGTGACTGAGAATTCATTCTTCTGTCCTATGTGAATGACACCTTGGTTTCCTGTGTGTCACACCTTTAACCACAGAGCGGTTCATGGACCATGTTCCCTAGCTGCTCCGGGGTTGATGCTATATGAATCGGTGGTGAGGTATTTGGTCCTGGGCACAATCTTAGCACTGACCCTGTGTTCAGGGCCTTAAAGACATCAATTTCCACAAAAGTTCTCTGAGTTAAATCCTCCCCACCCCCTGCTGCTGATGGCACCAAAGATCTAAGAGGTGAAAGTTATTCACCCCAGGTCATGCTCTGGCAGGCATCAAACTGGAATTTGGGTCTGTGCCTATTGGCCCAGAAATTATAGTGTGCTTCATAGCGTGAAGTAAAGGAGAAGGCAGATGGCATCGGTTGTTGGTTCATGAAAAGAGCTGGCGTGTAACTGCCTTCAGGAATGGGGTTTGTTAGGAGGAAGGGCCTCCGACCACAAGAAGCCTCGCCCCTGGAGAGCATTAGAAAGGAACCATATAGCACAAAATCGTATAGCTGCTTAAAACCAGCACCATGGGCCTGAGGGCAGACTTCACCTTTAAAACCTCAAGGGGCTTGAGTAAGAAGGCTTGTTAGTTATTATTTAGTGCTGTGATAAAAAATGGTGACCCAAAGCTACTTAAGGAAGAAAAGGGTTTAATTCGGCTATGGTTCATGCGGAATAGAGACGATAATGGCAGAGAGGGCCTGGCAGTAGGGGCAGGAAGCTGGCTGACGACTTGTGTGTCCACAAACAGGAAGGAGGGCACGCAACAGGCACGTGAGCGTCAGTACACACACACACACACACCATACACATACATACACATTCACACAGACACACACACACCACACACATACTCATTCACACAGACACACATCACACACACAAACACATCACACACACACACACCACACACATACTCATTCACACAGACACACATCACACACACAAACACATCACACACACACACCATATACACATACACCACACACACACACACACACACACACACACACACACACACACGATTGACCAGAAAGTGCAGTGAGGCTATAAACCCTCCAAACCTGTCTCCAGTCATTCACTTCCTTTAGCAAGTCTCTACCCCCTAAAACAGTGGTTCTCAACTTGGGACCCCTTTGGCAGCTCTCTCTCTCTCCAAAAATATTTACATTATGACTCATAATGTAGTAAAAGTAGAGCTATGAAATAGTAATGAAAATAATTTTATGGTTGGGGTCACCACACCATGAGGAATTGTATTAAAGGGTTGCAGCGTTAGGAAGGTTGCGAACCACTATTTCTATAATCTCCCCAAACAGCACCACTGAGACCATCAAACACACGAGCCTCTGCGAGGCATTGCTAATTTAACCACAGCAGAGGGATAGCTTAGAACAAGAGAAAGAAAGTCATGATGACAGGATGATGGGGAGGCCCAGGAGAGAGAGTCTTTAGAGAAATCCCTTCAATAAAGAAACCTTGCTTTTATATCAGGTCAGCGTGTATGCTTGCGTGGTAGGAAGTTCTACCCATGTGATTTAGTCTTGGTATAACCTACATAACAGGGAGCATGGAGGAGCCAGGTACTGGTTTGAGCCATTCAAAAATCATAGCACAGCAAGGGATAAGATAGTGCCTTAACTTTTCATCCCAGGGTAGATCTAGGGAAGGTGGGGTTTGAGGGGATTGGCACAGGGTGGCCTGTTTCATTAGGTTGTGGGATCTGGCCTCTTAGAGTAGTTAGCATCTTAAACGAGCAGGCCCTTGACCTAGCACCAGGAAAGGCAACAAGGCCTCAAGTGAAGAAATGATGCATGTCTTGTAGAGATAAGAAAGGGTTTTTGCTTGTACCTGGGGCAGCTTGGGCACAGTCCCAGAGGTAGGTCAGAATGACACCAGGACCTGGAAGAAAACCAGACATGGGGCAGAGTTTCTAACCACCTGGGCTTGGTGGATGGCGCTCTCTGCCTGGGATATCTGCTGCGATCATGAGTTTGTAGTTGTGATGGCATCTTAGAGCCGAGCATCCCGCGTCCACTGAGTCTGAGTCACCCCTTCACGCATCCATGGACACGCGCTAGGCAGGTACAGAGCGGGATACACCTCGTGTGCTGCTGGCGCTGATGATTTTGCTTGCTCCTCTTCAGATGAGATCCTGCTGCAGGTGTTTCCCAGCAATCTAGATGACATGTCAAAAGATGCAAGAACAGCTGGCAGACTGGTCACCTGGAGAGAGGCGAATGAAAGCAAGTATCTGTGGACGGATTCAAAGTGCCTGCGTTTTTATGGGTGGTATTCAGTTGGCTGGGCCGTGCCTGGAGCATCCCAGAATCCAGCTGTGGGTGGGGCTGAGATGCGGAAGAAAGAGAAATCAAAAACCCTCCCTGTAGCTTTCAGTGTCTGTGGGGTCTGTGCTTTAAAGTGTGCCTCTTAATTGTCATTATCTCATCATTATCATTGTTATTATGATCCCTGTTGTACGCAGTCAGGCAGGTCCTATCACCGTGGATGTTGTGCAAAGGACAGAATCTAATTTTCAGCGGGGCTCACTGTTGTGGTCACACAAGCTAGGCACACTGTTACAACTTTCTTCCCGTCCACACTTTACAGTTTACTGTCCAGGAGTGCCCAAGTGACCGTCTTGGGTGCAAAGCCTTCTCACACACTCCCTCATCACCCCAGCCCTGCTTCGGCCTTTGTAAACTGTTTTCCCAGAGCAGCACAGCTGATTTCTCCGCTAACACCCATGCTCGAATGCTAACGCTAAGAGAAAACAGCTGGCCACACACACGAGACAAAGCCAAGTAAAACCCCTTGCGCACATTAGCCCTAAATCATGAGGATAACAGAAAAGGCCCTCTCCATTAAGAGGGAGATTGAGAATGGGTCATTGCTTATCAAAATAAAGCCAGAAATATATGCTGTGTGGAAATTACACTCTAAGCAAAGCAGTTTTGTAACTAATGATCCCGCCAATGCATTTCTCGATGGCCACTCAATAAAGGCACAAATGTGAATCCTTTTGCTGCATAATCCTGTTAGCTTGCTCTGCAGGGGGTTTTTATTATGTTCCCTCAGTTGATACAATATGTCATGTCTTCAGCAAAGTGCTTAAGGATTAAATGTATTGGTCCTAACGACTCTTCCAGGTCTCGTTAGTAGAGAATTGTGCCTTTGTCCTTTATTGGCTCAAAGCAGCTCTGCTTGACGTCATTTGGCACCCACTACCCGGGTCCTTCCACCAGATTGTTTTCTACAGTTAGAGCTGCTGTGTGCACACAAATAACTTCGTGATTGTGCATCCTCCTCCTGCCTCAGTGTCTTCGGCACCATAATCAGACGGTATCCTTTTAGAGGCTCAAGTCAACACAAATCCTTTCTCCCTTAAGTTGTTTTTGCCAAAGTAATTTTTCCACAGCATCGAGAAAGTGGCTAAGACACCGGTTACACAACTGTTCCTCTCGAAGTACCTTGCAGAGGACTGGGGCTTGAGAGAGACTAGGCGTAGAATTGAGGACAGATTTCAGCCCAGCTAAAATTTGTTTCCCCACAGCTCATGCCCCCCCGAACAGCTTCAACAATTCTGAATTTGCATCAAGTTCACATCTGGCTAAGTTGTTTGGTAAGTCCCCTCCTCCTGTGAAAACTTTAGGATGTATTTGAAGAACTCGCCTACTTGCCCTTGGCTGTCTTTTAGGTAACTCGTTTCTGCTGCTTCAAAGGAAAGGTAAGCATGGTTGTTGCTTATCTTGTGGCTAGAGTGGGTTCCTCTGTCAGAGTCTTAAGAAAACCAACAGAAAGCAGAATGCAAACACCGGGAAAGGACCCTGCTTCTCAGAGGGTGCTAGATGGTGATAGCAGGGTAGGAGAGCGTGAGGATAGCCTGGGAGATTGAACCAGGCAGCCTGCCTGAGTGCTTACGCCCGCTGTGTGGGAAGACCTTCGCGTTAGAGTTTTCAAAGTCCACCTCATTGCTCATCTAGGAAACTCTTGCTGTGCTTGTGAGAAAAGCGAAGATCCAGATGGAACTCGACAGGGTGCGAGAGCTCCAGGAACCTGTCCTTTTGCCCGGACAGAAGCAGAGCCGGCAAAAACTGCCTTTTTTTCTTTTCTTTTCTTTCTTTCTTTTTTTTTTTTTTGGAAGCTCTTATTTTGTTTTGTTTTGTTTTGTTTTTGTGACAGGGTTTCTCTGTGTAGCCTTGGCTGTCCTAGAACTTGCTCTCTAGACCAGGCTGGTCTTGAACTCACAGAGATCCGCCTGCCTCTGACTCCTGCGTGCTGGGATTAAAGGCGAGCGCCACCACCGCCTGGCTAGAAGCTCTTAATAAGTATTTTCTCTGAAGGGCAGAAAGTTTGACATTCAAAAATAAAATCTTCAGTTATACAAACCTATTTAATCCTTAGCATTTATATTAACTAGTATACCAAGAGAATGTTACAATGTGGGTTTTTTATTTTGAATTTTTTTCTTACAATATATTTTGATCATATTCTTTATCCTTTTCTAACTCCTCCTAGACCCCCCTTCCTATCCACTCAACCTCATGTTCTTTTTCTCTCTTAAATAAAAATCCCAAACACACACACACACACGCACACACACACACTAAACGTGGAACCCGTTTAGTGTTAGCCAGCTACGCCTGAGCTCGGAGCCTGCTCTGTAGTGTGGTTAAGATACCCAGTGTCGCTCTCTTGAAGAGAACTGATTGTCCCTCCCTGAGCAGCCAGCAGCTGCAAATAGCTTCTTGGTCACGGGTGGGCTTTGCTTGGATTTCCATTTCTCTGTGCTGGGATTTTGTCTGGTTTGGCTTGTATGTGTGATCACAGTCTCTCTGAGTTCACATGTGCATCAGACCTGCTGTGTATGAAAACTAATTTCTCCTTGGAGTCATGCACCACCTCTGGCTCTTTTAATCTTTTCTTCTCTTCGGCATAGATCCCTAAGGTTTGATAAAGACACCCCATTCAGATCTGAGTGCTCCAAAGTCTTTCACTGTCCGGTTGTAGGTCTCTGCGTTTATTACCATCTGTTGTAAGAAGCAGCTTATTGGGCTGGAGAGATGGCTCAGCAATTGAGAGCAGTGGATGCTCTTCCAGAGGACCTGGGTTTGATTTCAGCACCACATGGTGGCTCACACGCATTTTTAACTCCAGTCTCAGAATGTCCAGCACTCTTTTCTGGCCTCTGAGGGTACCAGAACTGCACAAGGTGCACAGGCATTCAAGTAGGCAAAACGTAATACACATAAATTAAAATAAATAAATCCTTAAAATTAAAAAGAAAAAGAAGCAGCTTCTCTGGTGAGGGTTGAGGTGATGCACTAATCTATTTGTATAGCATAGGAACAATTTTATTGCTATGTTTACTTAGTAGAATAATAGTACTAGGTTTTCCTCTCGGGGGTGGTTCTCAACCTTCCCAATGTTCAACCTTTTTTTTTTTTTTTGATTTTTCGAGACAGGGTTTCTCCGTAGCTTTTGGTTCCTGTCCTGGAACTAGCTCTTGTAGACCAGGCTGGCCTCGAACTCACAGAGATCCGCTTGCCTCTGCCTCCCGAGTGCTGGGATTAAAGGCGTGCGCCACCACCGCCCGGCAATGCTCAACCTTTTTAACCCGTTAGTATAGTTCCTTATGTTGTGACTCCCCAATCATAAATTACTTTCATTGCTACCTCATAACTGTAATTTTGCTACTGTTATGAATTGTAATGTAAATCTGTTTTTTCATGGTCTTTGGTAACCCTTATAAAAGGGCCATTCAAATTCCAGAGGTTGCGACCCACAAGTTGAGAAGCACTACTTTAGGGCATGACCTTTAATCTCAGGTTCTTGGCCTCAGTATCAGTGTCAAATATGAGTTCCATCTCATGAAGTGGGTCTTAAACCCCCCCAAAAAAGGGGGTTGGTTACTCACATAACATTTGTGCCAATATTGCATCCGAGGTATATATCTTGCCGGCAGGTCGTTATTGTAGCCTCCAGGCTTCATAGGTGGGTGAGATTGATGACTTCGTTTCTGCTCTGCTAGGATGGATAGTACCTTACAACACTACGAATGCCAGCCAGTAGGGGTGAAGCTTCTAGTTGAGCAATCGCTGGATTTTTCTGTATTCAGTGACTTAAGTATGTGTTGTCTAAATCAACATGGTGTTACAACAGGTTGTGAGTCAACATGCGTGTGCTGGGAATCTAACCTAGGTCCTCCAGAAGAGTGGCCAGTGAGCACGACCCCGAGCCATCTCGCCATCCTAATCAGGAAGAGTTTTATGTATAAAAAAGCTCTTAACGACCATTTAGTATGTTCTGCCTCATTTATAACTTACAGCCTTCACCCTGTTCTTATGTGTCACCCTGAGGGGGGGGGGACACTTTAAGACGGTATGAATGACACCAGAAACGAGAAGGGAAGTTGTATCTCTACATATGAGGCACGGGGCAGAATTTCTAGATGTCTATCTCTGCCTGGGGTATCTGGTTTGGTCATCTTAGAGCTGAGCATCCTGTATCCACTGAGTCTGAGTATCCATTCACGCATCCATGGACACACTGTGTATGTACAGTGCAAGATATACCCATGCATGTTTCTGGTGTTAACATGCTTGTGCTTGCTTCTCTTCAGATGAGATCCTGCTGCAGGTCTTTTCTAACGACCCCAAACATTTATCAAAAGAAGACGCAAGAGCAGCTGATGAGCTAGTTACGTGGAGAGACACCAATGAAAGCAAGTATATGCCGATGGATTAGAAGTGTGTGGGTTTTCATAGGCTGTGTTGTAGTGGATGTGCTTGCTGCGATCGGAACATTCTGGAAAATGCCTACTGATGGGGCACTGCCAGACTGAGAACCGAAGGAAGAGAGTGTCTGAAACCCTTGCTGTACTTTCCGTCGGCCATGAGGTCTGTGGTCTGCAGGGTCAGACATAGTCTGCCATTCTGGATGCTGTTCAGGGGACATAGACTAATTTGCAAATAGAGTTCACTGTTCCCAGTAGTGTGAACCCTGACTAGCATTAATAACATCCACTCAATGTGCCATAATTTCATGTACATGGATAATTTGGGGGGGGAGTATAGCATCTCTTCCATCCTCAACTACATAGTGAGTTTGAGGACAGCTTAGGCTGCATGAATTCTTGTCTCAAAAAATAAGAGAAAGTGCTGGAGAGATGGTTTGTGGGTAAGAGCACTTGCTACTCTTCTAGAAGACCTGAGTTCAGTTCCCAGCTCCTACACCAGGTGGCTCACAACCACCTATAACTCTAGTTCCTGGAGATCTGACTCCCTCTTCTGGCCTCCATGGGCACTGCACACATAGCATACACTTACACACATGCACATACAATCTATAAAAAGCCCAAACCACCAACCATAATAACAAACAAAAAACCCTGTCTCAATCAGTATTCTATTGCTGTGAAGAGACACCATGACCATGGCAGTTCTTATAAAAAGCATTTAATTGAGGCTGGCTTATAGTTTCAGAGGTTTAGTCCATCATTATCATGCTGGGAAGCATGGTGGCATGCAGGTAGACGTGGTACAGAAGAAGTAGCTGAGAGTTCTATATATAGATCTGCAAGCGGCAGGAAGAACAGAGAGACACTGGGCCTGGCTTGGGCTTTTGAAACCTCAGAGCCCACTCCCAGTGACACAACTCCTCCAACAAGGCCACACCTCCCAATCCTTCTCAAATAGTGCCACTCCCTGATGACCAAGGATTCAAATAGATGAACCTAGGAGCACCATTCTTTTTTTTTTTTAAAGATTTATTTATTTATTATGTATACAACATTCCTTCCATGTATGCTTGCATGCCAGAAGAGGGCACCAGATCTCATTATAGATGCTGTGAGCCACCATGTGGTTGCTGGGAATTGAACTCAGGACCTCTGGAAGAGCAGTCAGTGCTCTTAGCCTCTGAGCCTTCTCTCCAGCCCAGGAGCACCATTCTTATACAAAGCACCAAAACCAACCAACCAACCAACCAACCAACCAACCAATGCAGACTCAATAGTGAAAAAGATCTTGCTCAAAAATGATAAGAGGAACATGCCCTTTTCCCAAGGTTTTTGGGGAAGCAGTACCACACTGGGAATCAACCCAGTTAGTAAGGAGAGAATCATCCGTGAGAAATCTGCAAGCAATGACCTTGTGACCTTGGTGGCAGGGTAATGAGCATGCTGAGATGTCGCCCCGTAGTTGTGAATTCCAGTTCATCAGGGTCATTTCCTGGGTCTGCCTGGGCTCACCTGCATTCAGTGGTCAGGCGACATCTCCATGTCGACGTGAGACCTTTCAGCTGCACATCTTCGTACACACTAAGCTCTACGCTAGTGTCTGGACTTTCTAAAAATGTGAAACGAGGTATCTCAGTGGGTAAAGGTGTATTTTTGTCCCGCTTGGAATCTTGAATTTGTGGCCCAGGCCCATCTGGGGATAGGAAAAATTTGACATATACTGGTTGCCCTCTGACCTCTGACCCTGCATGCACGCTGTGGCATGTGTACACCCCACTTCAACCACCCCCACATAGAATAAAATTAATAAAAATAGTAAATAAAACAAAACATGGACCCAGATGCTTATAAGAGCACTGAAAATTTTTTTCCTCTCTCTCTTCATGGTGTTTCATTAAAAGAAGTCATGTTTTCTGGAATTCTCCTGAATCAAAACATTTTATTGGCACTATGGGCAACTCCTGACAGTCATAAATGAAGATGAATACGATCCGAGTTGAAATAATTGTATAACAACGCATTTCGCTCTTGCTCATGTTTAGAACTGGGTGAGGGTGGGACGGGCTTTTTCAGGTCCCTGTCCTGCAGCGAAACCCGGCTAGAGGCTGGAGCAGGGTAAGCGTTCATTTCCTGGCTGGATACCAGGGATGTAGATACCGGGATGCTAGGAAGGCCAAGGAAAGACCTGGCATTGGCAGCTCACTCTTCCTCCTTATCTATAAACCAGCGAGATCCCTTCCTCCCCACAGGGTAGTGGGGCGTTTGGGGGCTGCACACATTCCTGAGGCTCCTCTGTCCTCCCAAGGGCAGTGGGAAAGTGCTCCAGCCAGCCCGTGAGCAAAGGCCCAGTCTACCTCTGAGGTTAGGGTAGGGGGGAGCTGCCTTGAAGACAGGTTGAACAACTATGGCAGGAAGCAGAGGGAGCATTCTTTCTTAAAAATTTGAAACAGCCTTAAGTGGACGGCTGAATATATGTTTCTTCCTAGGTCAGGGTGTAGGCATGGGCGTAGTGGTCCCATACCCAACAGTGTGTCAGCCGTGGGGAACAGGTTGGAGGGTGGGAGACCTTTATTAAAAGCCCTCATTCTTACCATCCACCAAGAACCTCCAAAAGTGGAGCCCAGGATTCTACGTGTTTCTATGCATTTTCAGAGTGTCATAGCCAGGGACCACATCCTGGAGATTAGAACCCTTGAGTTAGATGCTCTGGGGTAATTTATTCACCAACAAATACCCTTTAAAATAGGCATTTCTAATACCCTTGATTTTATTTCCTGTAAATATCCTATTAGTGATATGTTAAATATAATTGTACACCTCTTTGATAACTGGACATACCTTGAGAGCCGCAAGGAGACAATTGCTTACTGGGGACTGGGCGTGGGCTGGAATGGCAGCTCTTGTTGAGAAAAGATGATCAAATCTGGCACACGAAGATTTTCATTAAAAACTTTAGACATAACCAGTCCAGTTCCCACAATCTGGCTACCAGTTGTCTCCGTGCCTCTTATTAGAGAGTCCATCTCGACTGTGGTCTGAGATGCCGCCTTTATCACGGAGTAACTCCCGGTAATCTGGGTATTCATTTCCTTGTGCAACATCAGCACACAGTTTTTTATTTTTTTATTTTTTATTTTTATTTATTTTTTTATTTTGTTTTTTTGAGACAGGGTTTCTCCGTGATTTTGGAGCCTGTCCTGGAACTAGCTCTTGTAGACCAGGCTGATCTCGAACTCACAGAGATCCGCCTGCCTCTGCCTCCCGAGTGCTGGGATTAAAGGCGTGCGCCACCACCGCCCGGCAGCACACAGTTTTTTAAAATAATGTATTTAACTTTTATTTTATGTGCACTGGTGTGAAGGTGTCAGATCCCCTAGAACTGGAGTGACAGACAACTGTGAGCTGCCATGTGGATTCTGGGAGTTGAACCCGGGTCCTCTGGGAGAGCAGCTAGTACTCTTAACTGCTAAGCCATCTCTCCAGCTCCACAACACACAGTTTAAATGAGAGGTCGAAACAGTTTGTTTGAATGTCCTGCAGGACCAGTCCCCTTTGCGATTTCTGTCCCCCCCCGCCCACCTGTGGTTTTCTGGCCGTTTTGTATGATAGTTTTTCTGTATGAGCTTTACTGTCAGGCTGTCTAACTTTATGACTTTTTGTACTTTCCCAGTCATTTTGGAAAAATCGATATTGAATCATCCTAGGCTAGAGATGGGGCTATCTTGACAAAATTTTAAGCTTATCTTTGGCTTGTTTCAGTGTGTTCCATTTTCATATCTATCTACATGTGTGTGTGCATATATACACACAAATATGTATATATATATCTTGTCGAATTGTTACTTTTCTGTGTTGTTGCTGTAAGTGGACATTTCCTGATTATCCTGCACACTACTGAGTTAAATTTTGGTTGGAAGGTAAACTGATCTGTGCACGATCATTTCATAGCCTTAGTACCTGCGCCGACTGGACTTTGTTGGCTTGATGCAAACTTGAGTCACCTGGGAAGGGGCAACTTCAAACTCCATCAGATTGGCTCATGGTCATGTCTGGTGGCGTGACGTTTTCTTGATTGTAACTGATACAGCAGGACCTAGGCGGCTGAGCCAAACCTGGACAGGTGACCCTGGGTTGTATAAAAGGCAAGCCAGGAAGCAGCTTTGCCCTGTGGTCTCTGCTTCAGCTCTTGCCTCTGGGCTCCTGCCTTAGCTTCCCTTGATGATCTGTGAGTCACAGAAACCCTCTTGTTCTCCAAGCTGCTCTCGATCACGATGTTTATAACAGCAACAGAGAGGCAAACTGAGATAGGACCTTACTGGATTCTAGTCCATGGAATAGAAATAGATGTGTATATGTAATACAACATCTGCAGAGAGATACTGTTTTTCTTCTTTACAAACTACTGAGTCTCTCATCCACTTAGGGGTCCTATTTAATTACATTGTTACTATCTCCAAGACAATCTTTATGAGTAGGGGAAATATAGTTACACTGTGTCTTGTGCCTCTCTCAGGGGGAGATGCTTCTAATGTTCCTCAACTGAGAAGTGGTTATGGGATTTATATAAGAGAGTATCTATTATCTACCTATCTATCATCTATCATCAATCTATCTATCTTCCTCTCTATTTGAACACACACACATACATGTATATTTACATACCAAGAATGAATTCTTCAGTTTCTATTTGCTGCAGTAGGTTTGTTTTTGGGATTTATGTATTCTTATGTATATGTTAAGAACTTGCTATGTTCCATCTTATCTGATCCTATTGGTCATCATCCTTGTAGTCCACACTGAGATGACAGTAAAGTGGATCATAACACTATTCAGTGCAGACCAGACTCTCTGCCCCATGGAAGCTTTAGTGGCAAAGAAAAGTGCTGGATCAGAATACTGTTTTATGAATGGATGTGTGGGTGGCTGGTACAATAATAATCACTACCATGGCACCAGTGCCAACACAGTGAGCCCTGTCTGGCAGC